GATTGTGATTGGTTGGGAGGAAGCAGTGACTAGCATAAACCTACATGCTAGGCTACAATGAGAAGGAAGGAAAACTACGTTTCTTTTTTATCGAACTTTTATCGACACTATTTTTTTCTATTGCGCCACACGTCTATCGATCGATATATATCGTTATTGAATTATCGCCCAGCCCTAATCTAAAGCTTCTTGACCTAAATCTACAGGCATGAGACACGTGTCCTGAAACATACAGTGCTGCTGTCTGTCGTGCAAAAGCTCGTTTTCACCATCATCTGTACCTTGATCTACAGGATCATTTATCAGCCCTTCTTCTGTTCTATCACTGACTTCTCTAGAAAAATCATTGATCCAATCATCATTAAACTCTACATCCTTATAATGCTTGTTGAAACGTTTTAAATATTTAAGCGCTTGCTGTATGTGTGAAGTATCAACATACTGATATTTATAATGACCTTTAAACGTTAATTTCCGTTTTAATTTTACAGCTAGCAATGACCCTTCCATATTACTTCGAGGCAATACATTGCAAGTTTGATTTAAATTGGCAGGTACACATGTCACTGGTCCATGGACCCCATTCTGCCCCCCCTTAGGTAAAGCTAGCATTTTCATAAAAGGAATGTGTAAAGCTATTAGGTGTTGTTCTAAGCTATTGAGAGAAGCCAATTCGGAGGGGATCTCATCAAGACCTAAATTGTTAGTGAACTTTCAGGTGGCATCTCACCTTTGTTAATCTTGTAATGACAAGTATAACAAATCATCAATTTACCTCTAGCAGAATCCATCAAATTACATGGATTTCTGCAATCTGCGTTACATTTGTGTACATAGTCATCTACAATACATTTTTCTGCTATGACTGCACTACCTTTGCTTTTGCTATAATAATCTTATTTACATATTAAAACCTGGTGTCTAAACAATAGTCTGTGGCAGACACAGCAAACAAAGTCTGGACCATGTTGAACCTTTTCTAAAAACTGCTTTATGACAAAATCTAACTCTTTAGACATTTCTCTATGCTGCATTTTTATTTAATTTTACATGCAACAAAACCTTTTGTCTATGTTTTGCATTACCGTGATAGTTTGTTCTACTAACATCTTTTAAGTACCGTCTGTGTTGCTGATTAATTTTGTATTTTTCTTTACTCAGTGCTTTCACTTTCTCTTTATGGATAAGATTATATTCATATTTTTTCTTACTCAGGGCCTTCACCTTCTCTTTATGGAAATACATTTCCCTATACATTCTTTTGCCTGAAAATATTTTGTTTTGTTTATAAGAATCTTTTTGTTGATACATAAGTTTATTTTTAAACTTAACGGTTTCTTTATATTCCAAATTAGAATGGTAGGCAGTCATTTTTTAAATGTTTGTTTCTTTTTAAAATACCTTGACTGAAATGATGAAGTGCTGATTTTTTCATCGCTACATTGTTTAGCTTTCAAAGTTCTTCCACGCGTAATTAATGTGCCAAATTTACTTACTTTACACAAACCATAACACACCATTGTATCATCTTTATTCACACAAGTAACCACATCAAAATGAAATGAGTTCTGTGTAAGATATATTCCTTGACTCATTTCTGTTGGCCTTAAACAATTATATTTAGTCCATTGTGTGCCATTATGAACATACATGTTAACTCCTAATGCTTTAGCTGTTGCATGTATTTCTATATGAGAAGCTTCATGACCAACAAACTTCATTTTTGACCTCTCAAGATAACCTGAAACAGAAACATGGCCGCTTCCCAACAACTGTACATCATCTGTGTTTTTCTCCATGTAAGAAACAACAGCAAGTCTAATTTTGCGATGAGTTTTCTGAGATCCACTAATTACATGACCTACTGCTCTGAAAAAACTGTTCCCGTCTTCTCGAATTTTCTCAGTCTCACACACATCCCCTAAAGATCCACATTCTGTCTCTGCTGTGTCCTGTTTTACAGAATCTATGTTCAACTTCTTACACAAAGACATGGCAACATTGTTACATACAGGATTAAAACTTAAACACTGTTCATCTCCATCAGCAATCATGATATTGTCAGCATCTACACAACTAAGATCCTGTAGCCCTACATCCTCTGTGGCCCGTTTTCTAGTATTATATCCTTCACAATCTGAACCCTTTACTTTACAATAACCATAACAACTTTGTGTTTGTGGTTGTTTCACACAAACAACTGTCTCATAATGATTACCATCACCATTATGTAAATAAATACACTGACTTGACAACTGACTACTATGACATTTGTATTCAAGCCATTTATCTATATAATATGTAAATATGTCAACACCCAAACAATCTGCTGCAGCTTGGATTTCTACCTCAGTTGCCCAACTACCAACATACTGCATCCTTGATCTGCTGATATAGTCAGAAACTGATGAATATTCGTCTCTCAAAATGCTACAATATAACTGAGAATTCTTTTCTAGCTGCTTCACTACA